CTTCGATATCAATCCAGCTCAAATGCCAGAAGATGATTCTGATCCTGATGTTCCAACTACCATGAAGCGTAAACCTGGCAGACGAAAACGGATTCTTACAGGGAAACCAGGTAGACCGAGGAAAGTGTGCCAGTCCACGGAAGAAGAGGTGAATGCAGATCCAAATTTTGCAGGAACAGCGGAAGTTCCAATGGAATCAGCTACTTCTGGTCCAGAAGCTAATGAATGGACACAGGCGATGGCTGACGAATTTTGCTCATTATTGGAAAACGAGGTTTGGGATCTAATAGAACGCCCGCGAGACAAATCGGTTGTAGGAAGTCGAATGATCCTAAGAAATAAACACGGCGCTGATGGATCAGTAATTAAACGAAAAGCCAGAGTGGTTGCGAGAGGATTTTCCCAACTTCCCGGAATGGATTACGGCGAGACTTTCGCTCCTGTAGCACGATTCAGCTCCATTCGCCTTGCAATGGCTCTCGCAGCAGAACATCAAATGCACACGAGACAAATCGATATCTCGACTGCTTTTCTAAACGGCATCATCGAGGAAGAGATTCACATGGAGGTCCCTCTTTGTGCTGAAAGAATTTTAAAATTCATCGTCGAAAAGAAATACGGATCCAAGGACATTATCGACAAGGCCGGGAAGATGTTGTCCGAACTCCTTTTGGGAAACAGAGTGTGTCAACTAAAGAGGTCCCTATACGGACTGAAGCAAGCAGGACGTTGTTGGCACAAGCGCCTAAGTCAAGTTATGAACAACTTTGGAGCAAAACCAACTTTCGGGGATGCTAGTGTTTACGTGAAGGGTGAAGGTGATGATTTGCTGATAATCATTGTCTATGTCGATGATGTCATCGCGCTTTCAAGAAACCGGAATAAAATTGACGAGTTCTACAAGTTCCTGGGAAAATTTTTTCAGATCAATGACTTAGGTGAAGTATCCTATTGTTTAGGAATTGAGTTTTCGCGCAACGCATCAACGATCACCATGAGTCAACAAGGATACATCTCAGAAATCCTGGATCGATTTGGGATGTCTTCGTGTCATCCAGTGAGTACCCCACTCGACCCGGGAACGAAGCTGTCCAAAACTGACGTTTGGGCCGACAAGGACGGAAAGAAACCGCCGTACAGGGAACTCGTGGGGGCTCTAATGTACCTATCAGTTGCCACTCGTCCTGATATAACGCATGTCACTAGTGTCTTAAGTCAATTCAATGACTGTTTCGGGGTAAGTCATTGGCAAGCAGCAAAACGCGTATTGCGTTATCTTAAAGGGACTCCGGACGTGGGTATCACCTTTAGAACAAGAGGGGGTAATCTGACCGGTTACGTTGACGCAGATTGGGCTGCATGCATCGACGACAGGAGGTCCTATACCGGCTATGTGTTCACCGTAAATGGAGGTCCTGTTTCCTGGGAGTCGAGGAAGCAACGTACGGTGGCACTTTCCTCAACAGAGTCGGAATATATGGCTCTCAGCGACGCTTCTAAGGAAGCAATTCACCTACGACGAATGTTAGAAGAGATCAGTGATCACGATCTACCAACTGTCATGCTGCACATTGACAACCAAGGTGCAAAGAAATTGGCAGAGAACCCAGTGTATCATTCACGCACAAAACATATCCACGTGCGTCATCATTTCGTGAGGGAAGTCTTGTCAACAGAGAAAATCCAACTAAAGTACCTTGCGACGGAGGAAATGCCAGCGGACGTTCTTACAAAAGGACTATCAAAAGTTAAACATTGGAAGTGTCTGAACAGTCTCGGAATAAAAGTGTAAATTCAGATAGGCATCACTTTGAGAGGGGGTGTTAAAAATATTCAAATTGAGCCTCTCTTTTTATTATGTGTTTAGTGCTGCCACCTTTTCCTTTCTTTTTGTTTCGTTTCCTTTTTACACAGACACAAATTTCGCGAGTCACGTTCCAAGTTCAGTTCTCATAAAGACTTGATACTAATGCTATCTCTACAATTTGTATTCAATCATTTTCACTTACTATTTTAATTAATAAACCTCATTTTAATATTTTGTAAATTCGGTGTTTGTTTTACGATCCCTGAAACCTCGTTAACATGAACAGTCTGGGTTAAATATTGTGTGCGCTAGGAAGATTAAACCATTTTTTTTCGAAATTTTTTATTTTTCCTTGACAACGCTATGTAAATTGATTTGAATTAAGTTCGCTATATTTTTCCTGTAATTTTCACGCAAAAATACGTGAGTGTGCCAAATTTGAGCTTTTTATGTCAAAAAATGTGGCTGCTAGGGGGGGGGTACATAGTCATTTTTCGTTAAAATTCATGGGTTTTCCTTGACAACGCTATGACAATCAGTTCCAATCCCCAAGACATGTTCCTCTATTTAAATTAAAGTTTGTCAGAACAAATTTTTCGAATAACTCGGTGATTAATAGATTGAGTCGTGAGGCAAATCAACATAACAGTAACCTCAATTTTTTCGGCGTTTCAATCAACACCTTCGTCCGAGAGTTACAATGTTTGATATATTATGATAATAATAATGCCAGTGTGGCCACACAATAATTACTGTAATTCTTTTTTTGTAATATTCAGTACATTGTACTAATGGGCAGTGTAATTACTACCCGTCTGAAATTAATTAATAAATAAATAAATAATGTTTTTGATTAACATATTAATTTTTTTGACAAAATAATACATTTTTTTACCATTATTTCCGTTTAAAATTAATTTTTTTCAACTTTTTTTTTGATAAAATAATTTAATTTTTTTTCACCAAAATTTTTATTAAAATATTAATTTTTTTAATAAAATAATATATTTTTTTACCAATATTTCCGTTTAACAAATAAGAGTTTTTCTTTTAATAAAAAAAACAACAAAAATTTAAAGAAAAGAATAAAAGACTGCTGCCACCTACCTGCTAAAAAGCGCGGCTGTATTGATTATCGACAAATATCGATAATAAACTGTAATAGATTAAAATTAATAAAAACATTAAATTTTTATAATTATTTAACAATAATCATCTAAAAATGCATAAAACTTATTGATTTTAATAATTATGAGTAACTCCAGGTCAACCGTGTCAAGAAATTTTCATTGATTTTCTAAAATGTTAAAACTTTTATGAAAATCTGTAGTTTATAATAAAACAAAAAAACACTTGTAACCGATTTTTGAAATTTTAAATTTTTGTTAGTTTTTTTGCATAAACAAAATTTAACAACATTTTAAAGAAAAATTAATAGCTCAACAACCGTTTGCAATAAATTAATCAAACTTATACTCATTATATAAAAAATTGTCCTCTTTTCAATGAATATATTTGCAAAATTGTAAACCTAAAAATTCGATATTTGTAATAACAATTTTATAAACAATTTACATTATTTATGTGTTCTACCCCTCTGATTGTGATGAAACTTAAATAAAGTGTACATGGAAGTCTCCTCTTTAAGTTCCAAAAAGAACAAATTTGTATTTTCCACTAGAAGTGTATTAAACGAATTTTTTATTATGACGCGTGCCAACCGCCGCGCCATGCCACTGTAGGCAGGGTTGCGACAACCTACGCTGCACTTATAGGCTTTAAGGAATCTAAAAAAAATGAAGCTAATAATACATATTTAAAATTTACGAATCCGGTGTCCGTTTTTCAAAATTCAAAATTGCAGATCCAAAATGGCCGACGACTTTTGAAAAAACTTAACGTATTCATCTGAAAATAGTTACTCGGGGGTTTTCTGGGTCGCTGATTACGAATCCGGTGTAAATTTTTCAAAATTCAAAATGGCAGATCCAATATGGCGGAAGAATAAAAAAAATCGTTCAGTATTGCTTAAAAATCATTACTTGGGGGTTTTTATTTCAAGGAAATATTTGTTCAATTTTTGAAAATTCGTCCGCCATATTGGATCTGCCATTTTAAATTCACCCTGTCGAAAAACGTGCCACAACGCGACATTTTGTAGGCCACTTATGTACCCTACAGTGTCAAAAGATTCAATATTTTTTGCAATTATATTTGCAAAATATAATTGCAAAAAATTCAACTAAGGAACGGTAGTAGAATTTTTATTAATAGACAAAAAATTTAACCACTTCTTTTCGCGCATCAAGCTCAAGTACGTTTGGATGTTCGGCAGGTGAAGCACTCACGGTGATATGGCGTAATCAGCGACCCAGAAAACCCCCGAGTAACTATTTTCAGATGAATACGTTAAGTTTTTTCAAAAGTCGTCGGCCATTTTGGATCTGCCATTTTGAATTTTGAAAAACGGACACCGGATTCGTAAATTTTAAATATGTATTATTAGCTTCATTTTCTTTAGATTCCTTAAAGCCTATAAGTGCAGCGTAGGTTGTCGCAACCCTGCCTACAGTGGCATGGCGCGGCGGTTGGCACGCGTCATAATAAAAAATTCGTTTAATACACTTCTAGTGGAAAATACAAATTTGTTATTTTTGGAACTTAAAGAGGAGACATCCATGTACACTTTATTTAAGTTTCATCACAATCAGAGGTGTAGAACACATAAATAATGTAAATTGTTTATAAAATTGTTATTACAAATATCGAATTTTTAGGTTTACAATTTTGCAAATATATTCATTGAAAAGAGGACAATTTTTTATATAATGAGTATAAGTTTGAATTATTTATTGCAAACGGTTGTTGAGCTATTAATTTTTCTTTAAAATGTTGTTAAATTTTGTTTATGCAAAAAAACTAACAAAAATTTAAAATTTCAAAAATCGGTTACAAGTGTTTTTTTGTTTTATTATAAACTACAGATTTTCATAAAAGTTTTAACATTTTAGAAAATCAATGAAAATTTCTTGACACGGTTGGCCTGGAGTTACTCTAATACTATTAGAAATTTCTTAATATCTTGGATCGCGCCACGACACGATTAGTTGTTTCTAAACGTGTTGAGTAGCGACACGACACGACACAAATATTTTGTGATAGTCCCTGGTTTCACATATTAAATAGCCTTAAATAGTATATGAAATAATTATATTTACGAAATTAGCCTTTTCTATACAATTGCTCCCGCACATTCATGCAGTTCGGAAATATTAATTTCGGCTTTTTATAAAGCAAAGAGTATATTTAGTATCAACTCGTTTTTTTTGTTTTCACTAACATAATACGATTGTTCTCACTTATTTTAAATAATATGACAAATTCAGGTAAGAGATTTTTATGTGAGTTGTCAGCAATACGAATTCATATTTCAATATATGTACATGACAAAAGAATAAAAATAATTATAATAATGAAAATAATAATAACTTTGATAAATTTGTGTACAATATATTCTCAAAAACAGTTCTCATTTTATGGTCTCTTTCAATCAAAGACCCACACTCTCTCTCTTTCTTATGCACACACAAGCACACTTCTGTTTTCAGTTGTAGATTTTCTTTTTGTTTCTTTTATGAACGTATAAATAATTGTATCAAGCGTTAAAATTACGGCTTGAAGTATTAAAAATTAGTTTTTGTTTTACAATTTCATAATAGGCAATAAAATTTTAGCTAATATCCTTTCTGTACATAATCCTAAGCCCTTTTTAACGATTCTTCAAAAAAATGAATAATCGTAATAATTGTGTAACAATAATAATAATAATAATAATAATAATAATAATAATATTATAATAATAATAAGAATATTTAAAGGTAAAAATAACAAGATAACGCGTAAGGATAAAGAGATACATCGATTCCACAGTACCTATTAATTTTTTTTCTATTTTATAAAGCAAAATAAAAATGCATTATAAATGAATTATATCTTAACTGAAAATTTTAAAATATGTGTAAAAAATTTATACAAAAAAATTTCTGAATTTTTTTTCTAGAATAATAAATTATGGCAAAAAATAAATTATAATTTTTACAATTGAGTAAACTAAATAGATTTGAATTAGTTATATTGTAAAATACATTTGTAAAAGTGAAAAAGTGAAGTAATTTTAAAATTTTAATATTTCATGTGTGTAATGAAAATTATTACGTCGTCCGAGTTCTTAATTCAAAACTTTTGATTTAAAAATATAATAAAATATCCAAAAATTAAAAAGGTATAAACAATTAAATATTTTGTAATTCTTAGATAATTAAAATAATAACGTGTTTATCAAAGTCACTGTTTTTTTCTTATGTCGATAATAAATTCCAGAAATATCTCCAATAAAAAATTTATGTATATAATTGGAAAAATGAAAAGCAAAACTTAAAGGGCCTTTATTTAACAATAAAATTAAAACATTTGTTGTAGGCAACGGACTTCGTATTGCATTTTGTATACATTTCTCTGTGTATAATACTACTAACTTCATTTATTATTCTATAAAAGTCATGAGTTCTATATACTGACATTATTTTAATCTGTATATACAAAAATCCAACTGTAAATCCCTAGCTTCTACATATTTATTTTGTATGAATAAAAAAATACTAATATATCGCATGGTCGTTGCATGGTGAGTAATCATGTAGTTTTGTCCAAAAATAAGGCACCGACTATTGGAATCATGAGATTCAACCCGCATGCTTTGACAGATTGAGAGGCATATCTAAAACAAATGCAAAAAATTTTAAATTTAACATTGTCGTTTGATGTTAGATCAGTAACATTTATAACATCATTGTATGGATATGAAAATGCAATTCTAGGGTTTTAAGGGCACCACAGATAAGCAAAAATTAAATTTTGATAAAGTAAATTCCAAATGTTGTGTTACTTTACATTTTTCTCAAAAAATATTTTGCTTTGTGGAAAATGCAAGGAATATAAAATATGTACTTCAACGATGTAAGTACCTTTTGGAATACATAATAAAGTACTGATTACGAAAAATTGAAAGATTTGATAAACTCTAAAAAATTCTCAAAATCGTCCGTTTTGTTTTTTACGCACATAGGGGTCTTACCCCTTAAGTCACTGTACTAAACCCACGAACTAATAATAAGGAGGTGGATCTCCTATATACGGTTCTAGCGGAAAGTGTGTCGGATTTTTTGCAAGAGTAATGAGTTCTGGGTCCCCTAGCACTATAACACCACTTGCGGTAATTGTGCAGACGAATTGTGTTTCAATTTAAAAATCCTTCTATTAAATGAATCATTAAATTAATTTTAAAATAAATTTTTATAATTAATAAATTATTAATTTTAAATGAAATATATTAAATTAAAAAAATTTTACGGACAGAATTCTGTAATTTTTTCATGTTTTTTGTTAAAAATTATTTGTTAAAAATAATATTTGTTATTAAATATTATAAACATTTTTGTCAAATATACGCCAACATCATATACAACACACATATATACATATATAAATTCTCTAATTTGAAATATTGAATTATTAATTCAAATTAATTTAATAATTATTTATAATTTTATTTTACATTTATTTTAATTCTGAAATCAATGGTTATTTCTCAAATGAATTAAGATTATTGAACTTTATATTTCGAAATAACACGAACTAAAGTACTATCAACTTTGCTAATTTTGGGACTTACAATGTATAAAAGTTGCCACATTAGTTTGGAAAATTAGGAAATATAAAGAAATCATAAAGGTAATTCAGGTGGTTGAACCGATCACGCCACTAATAAAATGCAAGTTTGATAAAACTTGCATGGAAACAACGAGGTGTTGATTGCAAAATCAACCCTCCCACTACTTAAAATTACATAAAAACTGGGTGTAATCATTGCCACCAGATTATTATTCAAGGAGTCTTACTTTATCTTTCCCGCAAGGCAGATGTGTTTCCCGCAAAAAGGCGGAAGAATATATAAAGTTTATTCTCACTAAAAGTGGTTGAAATAGTTATTTGAAAAGGGAAATTTAATTACCAAATATAAAGTGTTATAAATACAAAAAGTGCAAATTCCAGTTAAAATCTGAAAGTGTTCATTAAATAACAATTGTTTATATTTCAAAATAATTGTCAGAGAAATTCAGATTGGGTGAACCCAATACTCTGAATTTTTAAAAACAGATTTTGAAATAATGAAATAATTGTTTCCAAAAGTAATTAATGCAAATTTGTTAGAAAGGAAAAATATAAAGAATAAAAAAAGGTAAAAACGACTTCCGCATATATTGGAGTCGTATGACAAATACGAGTGTTAAACTACTAAGAGCTCGGAAAGTAATTTAATACTTTTCCGTATTATTATAATTGTTATTATTCTGGTGATTTACTTTGAATATCTATTCTCTATTTGAAAAATACAGAATATTGTGAAATATATATTCACATCACACACATCTAATTTATTATTTGTTGTCTCATTTTAAGATAGACAAATTATATTTTTTTAATTGAATAATTCGTTTATTTGATCGCTTTGTTTTGAATGAAAAAAATCATTCTTTATGAGACTTGATTTTAGTCAAGTAGCTTAACGTAATATACTGAGAGGTAGTCCACTACCTTATTCTAAACTTTGTTTAGCGAAGAGCAATTTACGCTTTACCTATGAGCGGAATTGTTAATAGTAAAAATAGAGTACTTTTCTAAAAATTACTATTTTCTCTTTAAATTATTTATTTTTGTTAATTAACTTCCGTCTTTAACAAAAATAAATCAAATAATGAAGGAAATTAATAAATTAAATAAATTGAAGATAATAACTCCAAAATATAAGATTATATTTTAAATTTGTGTAATATTCCGTAAGGTTATAGTAATTGACACTGTTTTAGTTTTTAGAGCTCAAGATAGGAAACAATTTGGAAATTATAATACTTTGCAACCCGCAATTGATGAAATCAACGACATAACTATACAAATGGCATAGAAGTATAACACGAAGGGAAAAAGAGAAAAAATCTTTTTTGAAATAGGCTTGATTACCGGCGACAATTTAGGACTAAATAGCATATTTAAATTTGTTAAAAGTTTTTCGGCGAACTTTTGTTGCAGACTTTGCAAAATGGTTAATAGCTCGTTTAATGTCAGTTGGAAAGAAGATGAATTGAAGAAGATGAATGTGCTTAGTAATAACTCAGCACAAAGGAGAATTATGAATTTGACCTTATGGCTGACAATTATTCTGAAACTGGAATTCACGGTAGTTGTATTTTTCATTCTATTAACGCTTTTCATATTTGTGCAAATACTGTTGTAGATGCACGGTGGGCAGGAAGCGGCAATAGGTTGCACAAAAATGTGGACAACAACTGAAAGTAGGGTTGCATTTGTGGATGATTGTAGATGAAAAATCTGTTTATAATGAAATCCTAGCTGCTCCTATTTGAAAGTTATCCACATTTTACATTTTTTAATAAGATCAATTTTCGCGAAGTATACAAGGCGCGCACGGGTATTTGTTTCTTTGTGCGTATATATATATATAGGTGCATACACATTTATAGCTCAATATATTATCGTTTGTAATTTCTCAAACACAAAACGATAAATATCATATATTAAAAGTCACTAGGTGACTCGATGGCTGTTATACGTTCTTCACACGGAAAGACGAGATTTAGAGTATGCTAAAATCTTAACCTAACCAGTATAGTCGATTTTCGACGGACTAAAATAACAGTCGGAGTTACTAAACAGATTGTTAGGTTGACATGCTACTGAATTGAATTTTAAAGAGTGTCATATATTTATTTATTCTTTCCCTTAATTTTTTGAACATCTGTTGTGGTGATTCCCTTCTGTGAACATTTTATTAATAACAATTTTAAATATAATTTTAACGAGAATACCACAACCATGTAAATTTTAAACTGAACAAGTTTGGTAGCATGCACCGCGTCACCTAGTGATTTTTAATATATAATATAAATTTTATACTAACTAATTTACAGTTTTATATGCGAATCGATAGTATTTGAGTTGCGCTTTCATATAGAAATGTTAAAAATAATATTTTTCTAATTACTTTTTTGTAATAAAGCTTTAAACATGACCATGTCAATCGCGTTCCAGCAGACTACAGAAAACCATCCCCACCACTCATAAACTACTCCCAAGGAACTGAGCACCACTGGAGCCGGAGAACCTCTTTAAGGGGTTAGGGGTAGTCAGAATTTTCAAAAAATCAAATTTTTTTTTTTTGCATTTTCGTTAAGTAAAATATCTTAAAAATAATCTCTGAAAATTTCAAGTTAATCCGATAATTCGTTTTTAAGTTATTCAACAAATAACAAAGAGAGCTCGGGCCTTTTAAAGCGCTCGGGAGCGCTTGCAGCTAGTGTCAGCTGCAAGAAATCGGCTTTTAGGGTTCTATTGTCATCGATGAACTTAGACTTGGGTATATGTAGTAGTACCTAAATTAATATGGCCCAGGAATAGATGACTCGGTGTAAGTAATTTAATAATTCGTTTTTTTGTACGTAAATCTAGTGTGAAACTAAACGCGTTTTTCTCAAAACTATGTTTTTTGAACTGGTGACAACTATAACTCGAAAACCGCTCAGTCGATTTTAATGAAATTTATACAGCTTTTAGAATACATAATAAACTCGGGCCTGATCGAAGGATTTTTTTTTTTGAAAAATTTCGATTTTTTAAGACCAATTAACTGTTGATTTTTTCCCAAAAATCTAGACAAAAATTTCCTGAGGCCGCCATTTTGTTAATTTTTGAAAAAAAAAATCCTTCGATCAGGCCCAGGATTATTTATTTATAAAACTAATTTTTTTTATCCGATTGATTTCTGATTAATCTCCAAGGACTTATGATTGTCACCGCAAGGACCTTTTTTTGGAACTGGGTTAACACAAACAGCTGTAACTTCGGAAATAAAAATTTTTTTTTTTTTAAATTTTCGTGACTTCAAGTCAAAACATTGTTTAATAATACCATATTACTACTTTTGTAAAATAAAATTATTTAATAGCAAAAAAAAAATACTGAAAATTCTCATTTTTTCGTGCCTCTGACTACCCCTAACCCCTTAAAGCCAAAGATGTATTTCATATTGCATTACCATAGGATCATTCTCAATTTTGGACCATGCGTTATGAATCAAAGCATCGAGATTTGAAGCGCGTGACAAATCGATGGCTGGGTGTAAAAACATGATACATCGAATTGGCGTTGAAAAACATGATACGTCGGATTAGCGTTGGAAAACATGATACATCGTCGTTTGATTTGAAGAACATGACACGTTAAAAACGAAATTTTTTTTTCAAATTTCTGTTGGTACCACTGACCGTGAAATTTAAAATGTGTCAAATCTTTAAAACTGTTTTATGAAACAAATGATTTTGCTTCATAATATGTCAGTTCAAAGAAAAATTAGGTTAAATAGCATTTTATATAGTTTATATTTAGATTGATAAAATCTGTGATTTTATAAATAATTCTATTTTATTATAAATATTTATATTGTAAATATTCTATTACAATTCGTGTTGTTTAAATATTTTTTTGACGAGTCAATCATGGAGAGTAAGTAAAGTATATTTTTTAAAACACAATTATTAAATAAATTAAATTAACTTAGCTAAATTTTTTCTAGTAAATCCTCCAATTATTCAGTTCCTGGAGGATTTGCCACCCATGACGTTATCATACAGCTGTAAAAGTAAT